ATTCCGAAGACGCTCAAGGAACTATTACTAAGATGCACATTAAACGTACAGTTCCTGTTCGACAGCCGAATCTATAGACAAGTAGACGGCGTTGCGATGGGCTCACCCCTTGGACCTCTCCTAGGAGATGCCTTCATGGGCAAATTAGAGAGATTCCAGCTGAGCGATCAGATCGATAAGCTCAGACATTACGGTCGCTATGTGGATGATATCTTTGCAATTGCCACTGCAGAAACCGACGTAGCTACTCTCTTAGATGCGGCAAATCAGGCACATCCGTCGATAAAATTTACGCTGGAGATCGAAACGGCCGATTCGCTCCCTTTCTTAGATGTTCTTCTAAGCAGAAGACCTGACCGGAGTGTCCGAAGAAGCGTCTATCGGAAGAAAACCTGGTTTGGTCCATACACGAACTTTGCCAGTTTCGTACCCCTCCAACTAAAACGAAATCTAGTTCGATGACTGGCGCAAAGAGCTAGAAAAATTTGCTCGACAGATAGTATCGAGAAGGAGATCAGAAAAATCCAGGACTTCCTTTGAGAAAATGGGTATCCTGACGGGTTAATTGCAAAGAACACTGCCGAAAGACCGGTCAAACCCGCCACATCGACCACTGAAAAGAAAACTTTGTTCCTCAAAGTCCCTTTCCATGGGGGCGCGACGAGTGAACTCCTAAAGAGACGCCTTAATCAAGCTGCCTCGCGAACCTTCCCAGCAGCAAGGGTTCAAATATCATTCTCTACTAACCCTATTTTACGCGGGGAAGGTAAGGATAAGTTGCCACCGCAGACCACCTTAATGCGCATAGATTCCTTCACTTGATCCTGTGGAGCAGGTTATACTGGTCGTACGAGTCAGCGCTTATCCAAGCGAATATGCGAACACCCCCCGGCATGGCTGGGAAAAGACCAAACGAGGAGTATAAGCAGCGCCATTCTCGCGCATCTGGTCGATTCCGGAAATCGTGTGGACTCCAACGAATCTTTTCGCGTGATTTATAAGGTCCCATCGAGCCACCTGTTAGCGACAGCGGAAGCGGCCGCCATTAGGTTACGAGAGCCGGCCTTATGCGCACAGAAGAACCACGTTCAGGCCCCGCGCCTACAATGGTCGAAGGTTGACTAACGGTGCAACTCCCCCGCGCACTTCCGCTCTCACCCCGGCCCTGACGATGACTACTACTACCC